GTGCGGACTGCGGGCCAGGGACTACACCCAGAGAAACCGATAAGCCAGCCGGCGCGGCCCACCGAGAAACAAGCAGTTTCATAACAATATGGCGCCCAAATTGAAGAAGCACTCGGCTTCTTTGAAGAAAACGATTGCTTTGGCTTCAGGACCCACACCGCTGAAGTCTTATGTGGCACGAGTAGGGAGCTCATAATCGCGCAGCGAGGTTGAAGTACCACCACAACGTACAGAAACGCCGCCGGGAGAACTGGAGGAAGCATTCGTGCGAGGCAGGAACTCATCCCGACATGTACGCTGGAACTGCAGACAATTCGATCACGTCTTTAGAGACTGCCTGTCCAAGGAGCGGAAAATATTCTGCTATAGGTGTGGAAAACCGGACACTTTCTGCTCCCAGTGTGAAAACTGTCCGGGAAACCCCAGAGGGAGCGCGGTGATGGCAAACGCGGGGAAGCAGACGAGGGGTACCTACCAAAGCCAATAATCATTGAAAAGGAGACGGAGATATTAATATAAGCAAAGGAGGAACACGTAGGGGCTTACCGTATGAAGAACGTGTTCGGGCATACATGTCGGCCCGAAATAGAATTTTTGGTGAGCGACAGCCGGAAGGGATGACACTAGCCAGCCGGAGAGTGGTTAAGGCACGTGCGCGCTTCCGCAGACGCAGGATTACCCGGCGCCAGGTCGTCGAGGCGGTGAGACGGGAGGATAGTATAGACCCACGCGTATTCGCCGAAGTGGAAGTCGCCGGGGCCAAGATGAAAGGGCTGCTGGACACGGGGGCCTCAGTCAGTCTGTTGGGACGAGGATGCCGGGAGTTAGTGGAGAAACTGGGATGGGAAGCGCGGCCATACGAATCGATGGTGAGGACAGCGGCGGGTGCTAATCGCCCAATTTTAGGTCGCGTGGTTCTGCCTGTGAAATACGAGAATAGAAAGGAAGATATCGTATTTTACATGTGCCCGGACCTGCGACAGAAACTATACTTGGGAATCGACTTCTGGCGGGCCTTTGAGATTGTACCAGAGCTGCTCGGTCCGGTCAGAAAGCCCGGAACACCACCAGAGGCATCTGAGGTAACGGTAGCGAACACAGAGGTGGCATATTACCGGGACGACGACGACTGCGCGGCGGATTCGGAAATGTGGGACCTGGACAACGATCAGAAGAGTCAGTTGCAAAGCGTGAAGCGCAGATTTTTCCAATTTGAGAAGGATGGCCTAGGGAAAACTCACCTGCTGCAGCACCGAATTCAGCTGATCGAGGGAGCAGAACCCGTGAAGGACAGACATTATCCGCTGTCTTTGGCCAAACAGGAGATCGTGTGGGCCGAGGTGGATAAAATGCTAAAGTTAGGCATCATCGAGGAGAGTGACAGCCCCTGGAGCAACCGGACGACGGTGGTGATGAGGCCTGGGAAGAACAGGTTTTGCTTAGACGCCAGGAAACTAAACAGTGTGACGGTAAATGACGCTTACCCGCTTCCATGCATCGAGGGCATCCTATCGCGAATCGACGAGACTCATTTTATCTCTAGCGTCGACCTTAAGTTCGCGTTCTGGCAAATCGAGATTGAGGAGAAGAGCAGGGCGTATACGGCGTTTACCGTACCAGGGAGGCCGTTGTACCAGTTCGGCCACATGCCATTCGGGCTCTGCAACGCCGCTCAACAACTTTGTAGGCTCATGGACAAGGTAATCCCGGCGAATCTGAGGTCCAACGTGTTCGTATAACTAGACGATTTGCTGATAATATCGGCAGATTTTCCAACGCACCTAAAATATTTGGAACTGGTGGCCGAGTGTCTGAGGAACGCGAACCTAACCATAGGCATAGCGAAGTCAAAATTCTGCTTCCGCAACCTAAACTACCTGGGTTTCATCATAGGCGGCGGGACGCTGCGCATGGATCCGGGAAGAGTAGAAGGAATCCGGAACATTCCGAATCCGAGGACGGTCAAGGAACTACGAAGCTTCTTAGGTACAGCCGGGTGGTATCGACGATTCATAAAGAACTTCGCCGAGATCTCGGTACCGTTGACTGATGCCCTTAGGAAGAACTGGTAAATTTGTGTTGAGTGACGAGGCCATGGATGCCATAGAAAGCTTGAAGTTAGCCCTGACCACAGCTCCCGTGTTAGTTCACGCAGATTTTCGAAGACCATTCTTCATCCAATGCGACGCGTCTCACTACGGAATAGGAGCCGTGTTGTTCAAGTTAGACGACGAGCAACAGGAAAGGCCGATCGCATTCTTCTCGACCAAACTCAACAAGCACCACATCAACTATTCGGTGACCGAGAAGGAATGCCTAGCCGCCAAACTGGCCATACATCGATTCCAACCGTACGTGGAGATGATGCCGTTCACGGTAATCACCGATGCGAGCCTGCAGTGGATTATGAGTCTCAAAGACTTGAGCGGGAGATTAGCCAGGTGGTCCCTAGAACTGCAAGCGTTCCCTTTCTCCATGCAGTACCGCAAGGGAGCCGGCAACGTCGTCGCAGACACGTTGTCCCGAAGCGTGGAAGAGGTCATACTGACCCCAGAGGATCTGTTGGGATTTCTGACCCCGGAGTTCGAGAGCACCGAATATCGAGAGCTGATAAAAGAGGTGATGAGCCAACAAGGGTTGTTCTGTTCTGTTCTGTTCAAGTGGACCGTGAACGAGAGCTTGAAGGATGAGGTCGAGGGCACAAGTAAGAAGCTGGGTGCCGGAGTCGCTGATTGGTAGGACTCATCCAACAAGCACACGCGGACGAGACGTCAGCTCATGGAGGCATGAGGAAACGCTGCACGCACTGCGCAGGCGATATTATTGGCTCAACATGGCCATACAAGTCAAGGACTATGTACGGAAATGCGATACATGCAAAGAGACCAAGGAACAAAACTACCGGATGCAGGTCGGAATTGGGGAAGAAGTGCGCACCGACCGCCCCTTCCAGAAGCTATATAACGACTTCTTGGGGAAGCGTGGATATTCGTCGTCGTAGACCACTTCTCGAAATTTACCTTAAGGTGTTCTTCAAATTTGGCGTGCCGAAAGTGATCCATTCGGATAATGGACGATAATGGCATTACTCACCTGCGCAGAGCAACGCCGCCGAACGCGTGAACCGCACAGTGCTGTCTGCAATCAGAACCTACCTGGGTCAGGATCATCGGGATTGGGACGCGTACCTACCAGAGGTGGAAGTGGCGATCCGGAATGAGGTCCACAGCGCTACGGGAGTGACTCCGTTCTTCGCGGTCTTTGGACAGCAAATGTACCTGAATGGTTCCAGTTACAAACTGGCCATGAAGCTGAGATCGTTGTCCAATCACAGTATTTCTGACCTTGACGTGAAGGACAGACTGGCTGTAATCCGAAGCCAAGTCAAGGACCTGCACACCGCATACGAGCGAAGTCGCCAACGGTACGACCACCGCGCGCGCCAGCTCAATCTGGAACAGGACAGGAAGTGCTGAGGCGCAACTTCGCACTAAGCAGCTTCGGCAAAACCATCAATGCCAAGTTCGCCCGGAAATTCTTGAAGATCCGAGTCGTCCGAGCCGTGGGCACCAACGCCTACGAGTTAGAAGATATCCAGGGACGCGTGCTAGGCGTCTTCCACGCAAAAGATATACGAACATAATCGTAATTTGCTCACCTCCCTGCCAGGCAATGGCGGCGGCAGCGCCCGTCCTCCCTGTTTTTTTTTCTTTCGGGCAGTGCGAAAATATAGATTACTTGTCGTGAGTGTGGCCTACGTGGGGTATCGTTATTAGCCGGCTGGATCAATCCATGAAATGCGCACGCACATTCCTTGTATCGGTCATTCATGTCATTACAAGAATCTGCGTGGTGATGTTGCATTTGACGTTATCGGTAGCACCGAGGGCTTACCTAGTTGGTTGCGTGCGATATTATCGGCCACGCCGATATCTTTTCGTCATATGGTCAGAGTATGCGGGGTGAAGCTGCGCCCACGGCGGAGCCCAAACTTTTGAAGGATGGCAACGCCAGACTTGCGATCCACTTCGCCAAAAGCGACGATTGCTATTGGCCGCCCGGTTCGCTCTTAAAGAGAATATGAATAGAGTGGATCGCATGCCCTTGGTCGTCATTTGGGCCATTGACCCAAAAAAATGCAGCTGTGCAGCAACGGTGCCCGCCTCGCCAATGTATGCGTGTGCCGAAATTCGGCACCGATGATGTTGCTGCCCAAATGTAAACGGAGTTCGACTTTGTCAGCGGTCCACAGCGGACGCACCGGCTCGTAGTTAAGAATTTTTGGATGTGGGATATTTTTTTTTGCCGGCCACGGAGCATGTGCTTAACCAAAAAGATAAAAATCAAGGGACATACATTTGTTATGGACGGGTTTTCTTTATTAGTCAATTGCTTAATCCGTATGTGCTAACGTATTGCAAAAGAAAAACACATAAAACTTAAGTGCGACGAAACGAACTAAAAAAAAAAGGAAATAAAAATTAACGGTTCCGGCAACAAAGGGACCAGCTCCCGCACCAGAGAAGCCCACGAACATACCAAAAGCCAGGAATCGGCTCAGCAGCGCACACCAGCCATATCCGCGACGCCGCCAGCCAAGCGTCGGCGCAACCCTGAAGGCGACGAGACGAGCCACCAACGACCGGACGCCAACAACGAAGAAGCGGCCACAGGCGAGACCACGCCCACATCCTCCGAGTGAGTCCGTTCTATTTTGCCCATCCTCGTTAGAGCTCTTGGCAAAGAAATGATGGAGACTCCTGACCGTACTCCCTGAAAAAGAACAGATTATTTTTGTCGTTAGATTAAGTTTTTTGTATTTATTAATCATGTCTATACATACATAGGCACATACGCCGAGTTTCACTTTAGAGTGCGAACGGTGAGGGAATTTCCAAAGGTGATGCATTTGCGCATAAAAGATATAAATATAAAATTAACACTTGCGCGAACTATGCTCACATACTTACCTAATTGGAATTATCCATTTATATCGCCCCTTACCACCCCCAGAGAGCTCTTTAGGTAGGGTAAGGTAGAATTAAGCGATTTAATACAATTTATATCACCTACCTGTTGCACGACTGATTATCGTGACATACCCAGTTTTACGTAGTTGTGTGGGCACATTGTTCCTAAATTGGCGCAACGATTGCCTCTTAATTGCCTCCGTGCGTGTTTTTTTTTGCGGCGACTAGCGATATCTTTGTAGAATTTCTTCGCCTGTTCCATTTGGTGCTGTTAAAATAAAAAAAAAGGAATTCTAGGAGATAAGAGAAAAATTTAGGCATTAATACACTTTGTCCATAAGTATAAATATAAATATGCAACATTAATACGCATCCGGGTAAGAAACGTCACGTGCATGAATATTAATTCATCTGGACGGAGACCTCGTGCAAATCAGAAAGAAATAAAAGAAATATTAATGCCAATAATTATAAGAATGCACAAACCATTATACGCACCTGTGAAGCTAACCAAATATGAGATTCGAAATAGCTGCAAAGATAAATGCCATAAGCAATGATTATAATTGTTATACACTTAAAGAAAACGCAACCAATTATATACCGTATCTGATGAGAGAAATGTCCGGTTAAATTTTCTTCGATGGGGAGAGTTGGCATAATAGCCGGCACAGGCTGATGGCCATCTAATGGACAAAATGTGGGAGACGAGTAGGTGATCGTCTCATGGTTGGGCGGGTACGCTGGGTCCGGAACCAGGGCCCGATCTGGAAGAGTAAGGTGGATAAATAGTGTTTTTTGTTAATTTATATTGAGTGTCTCACCTTTGTTGTTTACATTTTCTTAGTTGTTACAGCTGTTTATTTTGTTCATGAGTTGGATGTTCCGATTGTTTGACGTTATCGATTTGTGGTTCGTTTTGCATAGTGTTGTGTAAGTCTGTTTTGTTGCAGACGTGTAGCTTTGTTGTTATCGATTGTGCGGACTGCGGGCCAGGGACTACACCCAGAGAAACCGATAAGCCAGCCGGCGCGGCCCACCGAGAAACAAGCAGTTTCGTAACAATATGGCGCCCAAGCACTCGGCTTCTTTGAAGAAAACGATTGCTTTGGCTTCAGGACCCACACCGCTGAAGTCTTATGTGGCACGAGTAGGGAGCTCATAATCGCGCAGCGTGTAGTGGAATCCGAGAATCACGACGGAAGTAGAGAATATCTATAAACATGAGAAGTTTTCTTGTAGTGGTTGATGACGGTAAGTCACGTTCGCATGTTGGCGAAACGTTCGCGACCGTTTATCGGTAGGTCTTACTAGAGTTTGTTTATTGTTTTCTATTTGTTTTGTCCACTCTGTGCTAACGCTGGGATGTGCTGGCCGTAGTTAAATGAGCTTCGGTGACAGGTGACCCAGGACGATATAAAGCCGATCCAGAGCCACACCTGACACACAGCATACCTTAAGGGTGCCCAGAAGTGTGACAGAAACCAAATAGTCTTCAAGGTAGTGTTCCTTGAATGCCGTTCGTCAGTCAAACTGACGAACTGAGCATTTGACGAATGCTTAAGTGTTGTCCATTGTCCAGATTATGCGTAGATTAGTTAGCCTGATTTGTCTTCTCTCCCCCAAGTATTTGAAATTAATTAGAAGGAAAAAAATGTAATTTTGTGAATATTCTTGTGGTCGATGTGTATGAAATTATTATTCTTTATTAGTAAGATTTGTTAGTGGGTGTTTATTTATTTATTAATTTATTAGGAATATTGGTAACGTTTTTTTTTTAAGAGACAGATCCCTAAAGAGGGTCACCTGGTAGACTTGGAGAAAGAATTGGCGCAACAAGATAAGCCTCCACGAAACCTGGAGTTCCCAAAAGCCCGAATAACCGCCATTTTCGAGTAGAGGACCGGAGAGCGGATGATTTTCAACCGGAGGAGGCGTACGCCAACGTGAAGCTCGAGCGGTGGAGCGTCAAGTTTGACGGCGAGGACGCGATACAATCGGTCGAAGACTTCGTGTTCCGCCTGGAGTTCCTGCAAAGGCGGGCAATGCCCGTGGAAGGGGGTCCTGCGTGGTTTCCACCTGCTCCTGACCGGCCGTGCCCACGAGTGGTATTGGATGCACGTGTGGCATTCTAGGGTCGACAGCTGGATGCAACTGCGACAGGCCCTTTTGGACAGGTTCCGGGGCTACCAGACGGAACACGATGTGATGCAGGAGCTATTACAATGAGAGCAACAGGTCAGCGAAGGGGTGGATGATTATATACACCACATGCTCGCCGCGCGATTCCTGAAGCCGCTGAGAGACCGCGAGCTGGTGAAGATTATAAGGCTTGGTTTGAAAGAAAGTCTGGCGAAATATATCTATGCCATGGACGTACTCACCGTGGATGAACTGGGGCAAGAGTGCCTAGAAGTGGAGAGGCACATGGGTCGCAGAAGCCGGACGGGTTACCTGAACCCGTCGCGTTGTCCACAAGGAACGAGGCCCGTAGTCCACGAGGTTGAAGTACCACCACAACGTACAGAAACGCCGCCGGGAGAACTGGAGGAAGCATTCGTGCGAGGCAGGAACTCATCCCGACATGTACGCTGGAACTGCAGACAATTCGATCACGTCTTTAGAGACTGCCTGTCCAAGGAGCGGAAAATATTCTGCTATAGGTGTGGAAAACCGGACACTTTCTGCTCCCAGTGTGAAAACTGTCCGGGAAACCCCAGAGGGAGCGCGGTGATGGCAAACGCGGGGAAGCAGACGAGGGATACCTACCAAAGCCAATAATCATTGAAAAGGAGACGGAGATATTAATATAAGCAAAGGAGGAACACTTAGGGGCTTACCGTATGAAGAACGTGTTCGGGCATACATGTCGGCCCGAAATAGAATTTTTGGTGAGCGACAGCCGGAAGGGATGACACTAGCCAGCCGGAGAGTGGTTAAGGCACGTGCGCGCTTCCGCAGACGCAGGATTACCCGGCGCCAGGTCGTCGAGGCGGTGAGACGGGAGGATAGTATAGACCCACGCGTATTCGCCGAAGTGGAAGTCGCCGGGGCCAAGATGAAAGGGCTGCTGGACACGGGGGCCTCAGTCAGTCTGTTGGGACGAGGATGCCGGGAGTTAGTAGAGAAACTGGGATGGGAAGCGCGGCCATACGAATCGATGGTGAGGACAGCGGCGGGTGCTAATCGCCCAATTTTAGGTCGCGTGGTTCTGCCTGTGAAATACGAGAATAGAAAGGAAGATATCGTATTTTACATGTGCCCGGACCTGCGACAGAAACTATACTTGGGAATCGACTTCTGGCGGGCCTTTGAGATTGTACCAGAGCTGCTCGGTCCGGCCAGAAAGCCCGGAACACCACCAGAGGCATCTGAGGTAACGGTAGCGAACACAGAGGTGGCATATTACCGGGACGACGACGACTGCGCGGCGGATTCGGAAATGTGGGACCTGGACAACGATCAGAAGAGTCAGTTGCAAAGCGTGAAGCGCAGATTTTTCCAATTTGAGAAGGATGGCCTAGGGAAAACTCACCTGCTGCAGCACCGAATTCAGCTGATCGAGGGAGCAGAACCCGTGAAGGACAGACATTATCCGCTGTCTTTGGCCAAACAGGAGATCGTGTGGGCCGAGGTGGATAAAATGCTAAAGTTAGGCATCATCGAGGAGAGTGACAGCCCCTGGAGCAACCGGACGACGGTGGTGATGAGGCCTGGGAAGAACAGGTTTTGCTTAGACGCCAGGAAACTAAACAGTGTGACGGTAAATGACGCTTACCCGCTTCCATGCATCGAGGGCATCCTATCGCGAATCGACGAGACTCATTTTATCTCTAGCGTCGACCTTAAGTTCGCGTTCTGGCAAATCGAGATTGAGGAGAAGAGCAGGGCGTATACGGCGTTTACCGTACCAGGGAGGCCGTTGTACCAGTTCGGCCACATGCCATTCGGGCTCTGCAACGCCGCTCAACAACTTTGTAGGCTCATGGACAAGGTAATCCCGGCGAATCTGAGGTCCAACGTGTTCGTATAACTAGACGATTTGCTGATAATATCGGCAGATTTTCCAACGCACCTAAAATATTTGGAACTGGTGGCCGAGTGTCTGAGGAACGCGAACCTAACCATAGGCATAGCGAAGTCAAAATTCTGCTTCCGCAACCTAAACTACCTGGGTTTCATCATAGGCGGCGGGACGCTGCGCATGGATCCGGGAAGAGTAGAAGGAATCCGGAACATTCCGAATCCGAGGACGGTCAAGGAACTACGAAGCTTCTTAGGTACAGCCGGGTGGTATCGACGATTCATAAAGAACTTCGCCGAGATCTCGGTACCGTTGACTGATGCCCTTAGGAAGAACTGGTAGATTTGTGTTGAGTGACGAGGCCATGGATGCCATAGAAAGCTTGAAGTTAGCCCTGACCACAGCTCCCGTGTTAGTTCACGCAGATTTTCGAAGACCATTCTTCATCCAATGCGACGCGTCTCACTACGGAATAGGAGCCGTGTTGTTCAAGTTAGACGACGAGCAACAGGAAAGGCCGATCGCATTCTTCTCGACCAAACTCAACAAGCACCACATCAACTATTCGGTGACCGAGAAGGAATGCCTAGCCGCCAAACTGGCCATACATCGATTCCAACCGTACGTGGAGATGATGCCGTTCACGGTAATCACCGATCATGCGAGCCTGCAGTGGATTATGAGTCTCAAAGACTTGAGCGGGAGATTAGCCAGGTGGTCCCTAGAACTGCAAGCGTTCCCTTTCTCCATGCAGTACCGCAAGGGAGCCGGCAACGTCGTCGCAGACACGTTGTCCCGAAGCGTGGAAGAGGTCATACTGACCCCAGAGGATCTGTTGGGATTTCTGACCCCGGAGTTCGAGAGCACCGAATATCGAGAGCTGATAAAAGAGGTGATGAGCCAACAAGGGTTGTTCTGTTCTGTTCTGTTCAAGTGGACCGTGAACGAGAGCTTGAAGGATGAGGTCGAGGGCACAAGTAAGAAGCTGGGTGCCGGAGTCGCTGATTGGTAGGACTCATCCAACAAGCACACGCGGATGAGACGTCAGCTCATGGAGGCATGAGGAAACGCTGCACGCGCTGCGCAGGCGATATTATTGGCTCAACATGGCCATACAAGTCAAGGACTATGTACGGAAATGCGATACATGCAAAGAGACCAAGGAACAAAACTACCGGATGCAGGTCGGAATTGGGGAAGAAGTGCGCACCGACCGCCCCTTCCAGAAGCTATATAACGACTTCTTGGGGAAGCGTAGATATTCGTCGTCGTAGACCACTTCTCGAAATTTACCTTAAGGTGTTCTTCAAATTTGGCGTGCCGAAAGTGATCCATTCGGATAATGGACGATAATGGCATTACTCACCTGCGCAGAGCAACGCCGCCGAACGCGTGAACCGCACAGTGCTGTCTGCAATCAGAACCTACCTGGGTCAGGATCATCGGGATTGGGACGCGTACCTACCAGAGGTGGAAGTGGCGATCCGGAATGAGGTCCACAGCGCTACGGGAGTGACTCCGTTCTTCGCGGTCTTTGGACAGCAAATGTACCTGAATGGTTCCAGTTACAAACTGGCCAGGAAGCTGAGATCGTTGTCCAATCACAGTATTTCTGACCTTGACGTGAAGGACAGACTGGCTGT